AAGGCTGCTATACACCATGGGTTAATCCTCAAAGGAGTAACCATGCATGCCTGATTTTGAGTCATTCCTAGATGTGTAGGGGGGAAAATTTAACAGTTTCGGCAAACTGTACCGACCACCCGAGTAGAATCGGCCATATTCTTCAGGTTAATTCTCAAAGGAGTAATCATGCATGCCTGACCTTTATAATTTTTGGTAGTTTATGGGGGACAATTTAACAGCTTCGGCGACCTGTATCGACCACCCGAGTAGAATTGAAAAACCATTTGATTTTCCTGGCACAGTGTCAGATTGCGTAGGCCGACCTAAACGTGTGTGAGAACAATGTCTCGTGAATGTTTGGAAGAATTATTTTCTATAACCTTATTAACTTTTATTATTTACAACCTAAAAAATTAATTTTTCAGGTTATAAATTATTTTCGGATCAAAAATTTCTCGAGTAAATCAAAATTATAAATAATTTTAATATTTAGAAAACTTCTCAATTCATTTCTTCCGTTTTCATAAAACATCTCGATACTCTATATCATTTTCTTTTACATTTTCAAAAATTTATTGTTTTAATATCCAAGTAAATTAAAATATGACGACTTAAAATAAGACAAAGTTTAATAAATTCTTTTAAATTATTAAATTATAAAATTAATTTGCGATAATAATGTTTACAATTTGTACTAATATCGGATGTGGTTGAGAATTATTAATATATATTCGTCTATAAAATTTAATCCATGAATTTTTTTGGTAGTAAAATCGACTTGCCATTGTCTTTCGCTGATAATTGATGCTTTTTAACATAATCTATAGCCCAAGATTTCTCTTGAAAAATTAATTTTGTGATATGAAATAATTCCATTAAAAAATTATTCGTATGAAAAATCAATTTTGTGATTAGTGCTACCCAAACCACTACTACTACTATTTACACCATAGACTTCTATGCATACTTTTTCCCGCGAGTTTTAATAGAATTTGTTGCCAATAAACATCACTGGCGTAATAATAAACACAATGACGTAGCGAACGTAACTGCACCCGGGCCGCGACACTATATTGGCGCCCCTCCCCCTCCAGAAACAAATTTTGTTATTCTTGGAAACCATTAGGCTCCCCTCTGCCAGTGGCGCCCGGGGCAAGCTGCCCCACCCTCTGCTGAGAGGTTTTCTTCGTTTTTGGGCGATAGGAAATTCGGAAGTTCCTCAAGGACAGGCAGTCTCAAAGGATTAACCCATGGTGTATAGCAGCCTTAAGAAGTGAACTCTGACCTTAGGACCGAACACGTAGTTTCTTCTATGTTAAATAAAATTTGTAATCTAATTTTGTAAATTTGGGAATACTTCAAATATGACGTTAAAACTGTTTTATGTCGTCACAAGTAGTTTTTTTAACATTATCTAGTATAGTAAAATCGTGGGACCGATAAAAATTTGACGTGTAGGGCAGAGGGCGCCACCGCGTGACCTTCACCCTTTGACCTCACTTTGCCCTAACGAAGAGAAACATCTTTTAACTTCATTTAGTTAACCTTTCTATTCGACACCGAGCCGATCTTGGATTTATATATCATCTCGATACTATTGTAAATATCGCGTAGCCGATTCAAATTAAGTAAATTATTTGCCTGGGTCATTTCTCAATTTTTACCAGCAGAACAAAAAACGTGGACTTCACGGACAAGGTAGAATGTGCCACGTAGATTTTAGCCACCCACTAAAGACGTTATATTAAGGTTGTCGTTACATCCGATATTATAATCGGGTTAAACTGTATATTGTTTGTGCAAAATAAAATAATAATTTCGTAGTGTATCCCAAATACGGCTTTGCCGTTTTACTTGTTTTAAGGTTGAGGAAATTTTACAAATAGGAAGTATAATTAACTCAAAAATTGTCAGAATGCATTTGTATTTATTAATTTTAAAAACCTACTTATTAGTTTTTTTAAATCTTTCCTCGTTATGGCATGTCACAAATGGTCAATAATCAATGAGTAGCTTATTTGTGGCAGGACTCTGAAAATTCTTTACTTGTCAGAACCTGTAATATCTGGAATAATTGTGCTTACGCTGTCTTAATTTTTAACCATGACCGGTAGCTTCGATAACTGCGTAACACCAGGTTGTGCAAATTGGGCAAGAATACAAACGAGTACGAATTCTGCAAGTATGTTTTTCTTCATAAACCTGATTATTAAAGACGAACAACTGCCGAATTATCGGGCTATAAGCTTGATGTTTCTATTAAAGCAGCCGAGGTAGACAAATCAAGAATACTAGAGCAAAATAAGTACTACAATATTGAAAACGAACTAGAAATCTTCTAGGCTACGGGTGAAAACACACAACACCAGTCTCTCATAAATGCATTAAAGACGATTCCACCCACATGAATTGAATCGGAAAGGGCATTCTTGGTAGCAGGGCTTTTCATTAGTTAAATAAGAACCAGATCGACTGATTGGAGTATTGACCATCTTTGCTTTTTAAAATCTTAATTCTATTCCAGAATCCTGGGGCAAGCAAAAGACAGGGAAATAAGAAACTCTAGTTTTTACCATTTCGCGTTTTTCACCAACTATAGGCGCTGCATTTTTACAAAATGGCTACTTTATCTGGGTCGCTTGTAACTAACTAATCAACGTCAAATTATTCATGTATTACTGTCCGATATGATATATGCTTCTTGTAGCTGTTTATCAATAAATTTTATAGAACAATTATTGCTATTGCAACATGTCATTTTGTGGTATTATCGAAACAAATGAACGAGATCATTCTACACATTTGTGGTGTGTTAAAAAGACACCAGCTTCGACGTGTCCCGCCAGGGTCGGATTTACAAGCTACGTAAAGCTTGGTACTCACGTGCGGAAACGGTTGCAGTTCCGTCGTCCATTGCCGCATGTGAGTACCAGGCTTAAGCTGTGGCTTAGGGCCAGAGTTCAAAAATTTCTACAAAAAAGAAAGTCGAAATTTTGTAATAAAATACTTTTTACAAACCAACAATATACTAAATACTACACAAAAGTGTAAATGTTTCTTTTCATGACTGACTTCACAATTTTAGAAGGGTTGTGACATCACACAAAGTTTAGCTTAGGGCCTCAAAGTGCCTAAATCTCGCGCTCTCACAAAATTACAGGCATGTTAAACTTCAAAGAAAAATCCTTTAAAATTGACACCCTTATACCTAGCGCCAATCTGCTTTATTTCTCTAGCTTCTGTTGTTCCATCCTAAAAGTCCCCTATAACTAAAAATAGGCTAAAACTTTTTCCGGCGATGGGTAATAGCATCAGACCACAGGGTAGTTTTACCCTAGAAACGGCAGCACTGGACAAGACACAAGGATGTTTAAAATTTTTTGTTGCTTTTGCATACCCCGACACAAGCGCTAGTGGACATTGGTATGGCTGCTTTATCGCACTTTTTAAATGTATTTGCGACAATTTAAATGATTTACTGCGAATAAAACATGGTGCCAGTTAGCAGCAGCCTGTTCGAAAACACTTATCAACTTCAGATTTGCGAATCTCCCACGGAAAATATTGGTGTTCAAAATCGCAATTTGTCAATATTTAAATTGCTTGCGTACGTAGACTCGTTGTATTGACAATATGGATGGAATTACGCGTAATTATCCATCTAGACCAGTGTTTACTCACGTGCTGCAGTTTTTTACTGTTATGTATGAGCTTAAACATTCTTAATATAACTTAATGAACCACTAATATTCTATCAAGATGGTCAAAATTTATAACTAGGATACCAGTTGGAAAACTTGTCTGTATGCCCTCCTCATAGTTTTAAGTCTGACCAAGTGACGAATATCTTTTCACTAAATTAGATAATTGTTCTGCAACTACACAAACCATATTTAGGTTTAAGATAGAAAATGATAATGTTGAGTAAATGTTAATGATGTGACTCCACTTTTAACACAGCAACATACCTAATAAAGTAGTTTTAAAAATAATCCATAAATTTTCAATGCTCGTAAACTACTATATACTTCTTGCTGCAATTTAAGTACCGTATAATGTTTAGGACCTTTTAATGACAAAGTATTTTCCAAGATAATTAAGTCCTTTTTATAGTGGAGTAAATAGGAAATAGAAAGTTATGGCTTTTTGAATGACAAAGTTATTTTTGTTAAGTTTATTCTTTGATTTGTTTTTCAAATGTTAGAAAAATAAAAGGTTAGCCACCCAAAAATTGTTTTTAGGACAATCAACTTTTAACTAATTAAAATTATAAACTTTAATCTCAAAATTAAGTGTGTAAAGAAAAAACAAAATTAGGTGGCAATTATAATTTCATTAGTTGATACTTTTACTTCCCACTTTAGATGAAAAAAAATGACCTCAAAGAAATGAGATTATCTCTGAATTGCAGCAATTCATGATGCAGTTTAACTTTTTTTTTTTATTCACAGTACTTGGACTATACACAGTGCAGCTCAATGCTTGTAAAGTAGGCCATGCTGCTGCTTGTGGTAAACCACATCTTTCAATAATATATATATATATAATCTTCCCAGGCCAAAAATGCCTCAATCAACAAAACGGGCTAACAGCATGTTGGTCTAAGCTTCACATAATTTATAGTTTATCCAAGTACTGGTCAAGATCGGGAAGAGCCTCTTTTAGACCTTTTCTTTTTCTTGTGTCCATGACAATTTGGTATGGGCGAGACTTTCCGTCCATTGGATCTCCGGGCAAGATCTGCCAGTGGTCAAATACACATTGAGGGAATGCCTGTCCGCCGGTATTGGAACGGAGATCGGCAGTAAAACCTAGAAAATAATTACATAATTAAAATACCAAATCAAGAATTTACCAGTATTGAGTAATGATACTTACCAAATGATTCATTTACTGGCAAATAAGCTTTTACAATGAACATAGGAGTTCCTGCAACTTGGCACTCTTCAAATACGTGACCTCTTCTGCGATTCAAAACGCCGTAGATACCACCGACGGCATTTTCGGGACACTAACGACAGCTAGATGTTAGCACTACATTTTACAATATTCGCACAGAAAGTGAAGACACTCACCTGAATTTCTACTAAATAAATTGGTTCCATAATGCGTGGGGAGGCTGTAAGTGCACAAGCATAAAGACATCTACGAGCAGTTGGAATAATCTGGCCACCACCACGATGTATAGCGTCTGCATGAAGCGTGACATCATAGATGTTGAATCTTACACCCCGCATATTCTCTTCACATAGTGCACTCTAAAATATATATTTTAGTTAAAAATAAATATATTTTAATTGAACAAAAAAAATCTTAAGCTTTAAATCTCACCTCTTTAGTAGCCCATTGGAAACCAGCAACAACACTATCTTTGATTTCATTTAAATATTGAACACCTTTAGTTACATCTACTAGGAGATTAGGACCTGTTCCTTCTGGACCAAAACACCAGATTTTACGTGCTTCGGTAGCATCCCATTCATATTTATCTGATAAATAGCGAGCTCGAGCCTTAAAATCATCTCTTGGATTGACAGTGCCCTAAAGTTAAGAATAAAGTTTATAATCAATCACATAGATGTTTTCTTAATTAAAAAAATTCATTATTACCTTATCTATGTCCTCTGGAAGACCATCAGGCATAGGCATAGCTTTCATATACAGACGGTTGTGCTTATTAGGAGATTTAGACAGACAGGTTATACTAGATTCTTCTAATACACTTTCTCGGTAAGATACAACTGGATCAGTTTTTTTGAGTGGAATACAAGCATGATCCTCTTCCAAGTCTTTCAAGCAAATTTCAAGATGTAACTCTCCGGCACCAGCAACAATGTGTTCTCCAGATTCTTCAATTATACACTAAGAGAAATAATAAAACATCAAAAAAGTTCTCTTCTTAACATCCAGGAACTGACAAAGAAGACTTACCTGAACCATAGGATCAGATTTTGCTAATCTCTTCAAACCTTCAACCAACTTTGGAAGATCTGATGGATTTTGTGGTTCTACAGCTACACGCACAACTGGGCTGACGCTAAATTTCATAACTCTCATGTTATGAGCCTCTTTGTAAGTTGTTATTGTGCCAGTTTTTACAAGAAATTGATCTACACCAACTAAACCACAAATGTTACCAGATGGAACATCTTCAATGGGCTCTGTATTACGACCCATCATAAGAACAGTTCTAAATTAAAATGAAAAACATTTTTCAGTACTGAAAGTTATTTGAATATAAAATTTTTGGATAGGGAAACAAGTGGTAGAAGTTACAAATCTTTTGGAACAAACCTTTGAATAGCTTTTTCTGCTAAGTCATCTTTCTTTCCTGGTGTGTAGTTAGGTCCCATAATTCTGACCTTCTGTCCCGAAGAAACAGTACCAGAGAAAACACGACCGAAAGCATAAAATCTTCCCTTATCAGATGTCGGAACCATTTTTGATACGTACATCATGAGTGGTCCGTTAGCATCACAATTTTTGATTGCTGCACAGTTAAATACATCAGATTTAAAATTGTCTCATAAAAATATATAAAAAGAAAAAAAAAAAAAAAAACAAACAAACATACCAACGGCTGCTTCGTCATCGTGAGGACCTTCGTACAACATTTCCATACGGTAGCGTTGTGCCGTCACGGGTGACGGCAAATGAATTGCTATCATCTGAAGAAGAGCATCTCCAGCTGGTAACCAAGTTCTCATCACAACCTGGAAATTTTAAATTGAGAAATTGTATTATCCAAAGCTTATCAAAATATATGATCACACATTTACTATTTTCTATAATAGTAATTAATACTATCATACAGGTTTTAAGCAAGTTTGGAATATAATACTAAAATTACCTTCAACAGGGCTTTTCCTTCCTTGTCTTTATCATCTCCTTTTAAAACTACATTCAACTTCTCAAGCAGCCTTGCAGTTTCCTCTTTCTTATAGTTCATGATTGCATCAAAAATTTTATAAATTGGATCTAAAACAAACATGCAAAAAGCTCTGTTGTAACCTTCATCACATTTCTTAGACCACTTCTTTAATTTAGGATTGTAGAAGTTTTCTCCCCACAATCTGTTCATCAATTTCTCAACATCAATCTTAAATTTCTCGGCATAGATTTCGGCAAATTGTTTAAGAGTGAATGCCCAACCATGTAAACCAGAACCAAATCCTACACTTCCTTTAGATGGATCAACCTAAAATAAAGTTCCAATTTTACATAATGTTACATCGACATTACTGCTAACCAGAAAAATGCTAACCTTGACATCTCCCATGGGTCCAGTTTCATCATTGTAAGTTGCAATGATGACATTAACATTTTCTACAATACGTTGGAAAGTTTGATACAAGTCTTCTTTTTCAAGCTGGAGAGTTAACAGAGCAAGGTCCATTTTATTCATAAAAAGTACGGGTTTAATACGTTCAGCAATAGCCTGTCTAAGCACAGTCTCGGTTTGTACACACACACCTGTTAAAACGAGAATTTGACGTCAACACCAGAAATTGTGCACTCATTAATTTTATTATAGATAATATTTTACTTACCACTCACACAATCAACAACAACCAAAGCACCATCAGTTACACGTAAAGCGGCAGTTACTTCTGATGAAAAATCTACGTGACCCGGAGAATCAATCAAATTGATTAAAAAACCTTTAATGTCCTTCTCCTTTTGTGTTTCTTCTTTAATAAATGTTAAATCTTTTTCGCCCAATTCAAAATACATTGAAACTGCCCTGTAAAGTGACGATTAATTACATATTTTTAGAAATTTGAACAATTAAGTGGGCATGCAAAAATTATACAAGCAATACAATCAACTACTATAAAAGGCAAATATTCAAGCACTAACCTTTATTTAATTCAGCTAATTGTGCTTAACCTATATTTCAGTAGTAATGACATTTATAGCAAGTCTTTCCTTAGCATCAAGGAAATGTAAATAATCACAAATGTATTTGTACAACTGTTGAATTTTTTGTATAAGCAGTAAAATTGATTCTATGAGGTGGGGATTAAATGCTGGAGGTTGCAAAAATTCAATTGGATTATATTTTGTTTATTTTAATTAGCTAATGGAAAACTCATTTTGTTGTATATTGTTTCATTTAAATGTCAGTTTCCAAGAACCTATTAATGGTGTTAAGCAAGTGCTTGCTGTATTTACACTATTTTATCAAAAATATCCTTACATTTAAGTACTATTCTGTAAGAAATTTAATTATAAACATTTCCAAAAATAAAGACATTTTTACATAAATCTAGTATGGATTGTTTCTAGACTTGGATTCAACTCCATTTTTTAAAATAGTAAAGTGGGCATTTGAAAACAGAATTTTACCAGAAAAACAACAATGTGCGCAACACAACCCATTTTCAAGGTTTAAATAATTTTGCTTTATACAGGTGACACAAATGAAAAGCATGAAGACAACAATCATTCCAGTATCTAATGACTGAATCACAAAATTTCAATGATTGCTAGCTATTCGTTTTTAAGTGCAAATTGTTTATGCCTTTGCTAGCATTTAGCTGGACAGTCACAGTGTAATATTTTTTATTTATTGTTACATTGTTGTTAATATTCTTAATTAAGGTTATTAATTTTTATTATTATAATAACCAAAAGTTGGATTGCTGAGTAAATGGCACTACTTCATATCATTGACACTGCTATATCACTTTCCCAGCCGTTATGTATACATAACAAGAGACAGTATAGAAATTGTCCCAAATTTGACCCGTTTTTTTTACAATCTCCATGTTTTAAGACCAGAATTCAAAAAAGTAAAGTTAAAAAAAATGTATGTACATATACACACACAACAAATTGTTCACTCAATATCTCAGGATGAGTTAAAGATTAAAAAACAAAATTTGGCACAGTAACTTTTATGAGGGGCATTCATGCTGTTAAATTTTGGTGGTGAAAGGTTGAGAGGGTGGGGAGATAGAGGGGGGGTCATGTATTGCAAGTGAGTTTTATAAGAGAGAGTAAATGTTAATAACTAATAAAATCTTAAGTAGGACTTAAGATTTTATTAGTTATTAACATTTACTCTCTTTTATAAAACTCACTCCTACCCTCAAAATTAAGTTTTTTGACATTTTATAGTAATTAAAAATATAAAATGTTTTTATAACAAAATCTGATAACACAGCACAATTTATTTTTTGTTTAATAATATAAAGATTTTTTAAAATAAAAACTCCAGCCGGGAAAGTTACGCAACTATCGTTGCCAACTATTTTAATTTAGAATTCGCCTCATCTCATTTAAGGAAGCAAAAGAATATCAAGATCTGCATTTCTCAGAAAAGATACCAAGGAAACCTTTTCTGAAGGCTATTGAATTTTTGGTAGAGTTCCAACTCTGGGATGCAAATGGTAGAAATGTTTATACCTATGGAGGAGGGCAAACATGGTTCCCATTGAAATCCAGCTATACTTTTATTTCAGAATCTATTTTTATAAATTTCATTTAACCTTTTCTTCTTATATGCTTTATACATTACTTTAAACTTGTATACAAGTACTCCACAAATAATCTGCATTTTAGTTAAGTTAATAAAAATCAAAATATGGTGAGGCTCCTTACAATGTATGAAAAACTGGCATGCGGCTCTCAATGACTTCCTGCATGCCAATCCATGGTCTATACCAGGGGTGTCCAACCCACGGCCCAATAAATGTATAAACAAAACCAACAATTTTTTTTTATTATTTATTTCAACAGCATAAACTTCAAAAAAGAGGTTCCAGAAAGCTGTAAACCTTTATACATATTTTTTAATAGAAAGGAAATACAGTACAGCATCGATTTTCCGAAAGTCAATCATCCGAAAGAATTCCAGTCAGCGAATTTAAATTTTCGCCAGTGCCGTGGCGCTTCAATCTTTGGCTATGTCTTCGGCTACTCAAATATTTTACGTTTTTGATACTAAATTAACATCTGAAGTATAATTTTTTATTATTTTTATATTTTTCAATATATTTATTTTGTTTGTACAAAATAAAAAAATAATTTTTAACGATACAATAGTCTTTGTTAGGCTTAACATCGACGAAAATTCAACGCGAAGTGACACGCAACAGAGAAAAATTTCAAAATCGGATACGTTAAACTATTTTTTCGTACGTAAATCAGTTATCCGGACAACCCCAGTCCCCAATTGATTCGGAAAATCGACGCTCTACTGTATTTTCAAATATTTGAAATGTGTGAATGAGGAAGGAATACTAAATAAAGCTGGAGTCGTGACTCAGAATTATAGCCCCAAATTCAGGGAAAGAAGAGAAAGGCCAAAAGATAAAAAGAAGTGAGAAAGGTTGAAAAATTAAGAACCAATATTTGCATAACAGGTGTATTTAACCTTTCTCACTTCTTTTTATCTTTTGGCCTCTCTCTCCATTCCCTGAATTTAGGTCTATAATCCTTTGAATCCCAACTCTACCTTTATTTAATATTCCTTTCAGCGCTGCAAGATTTGACTACTTTGCGCCAAATTTGGCTATCCTTTTTTAGTGTTGCGTAAAAAAAATTATTTGGCGCATTGGCTACATATTATTTATAAATATTTTAGTTGAACAAAAATGCACTTTAAAATGGTGTTTCGTTGTTTTTTTTATTAATTAAAGACTCAAAGAAAACAAATATTTGTATTTTTCAAAGAAATTTTTGTCTGTCTCCTTTATAATAAATAAATTTATTTCTAAGCAGAAATTAAAACCGTCTGTGAAGTAATTTTTTAAAATATCCTTTTTTGTGGTAAAGTTTTACTACTTATTACTATAATCTAGACATGTAAATACTTAAATATACTTATATATTTAATGATTGGGCCACAATATACTTGTGACCCAGAACTCCATGAATTCTTCCAATGTGGCCCAGAGAAACAAAAAGGTTGGACATCCCTGGTCTATACCATCATGATCTATGTTGTCTCAATTGGGTCAGTATGACGAGTGAGTAGTGTTCAATAGGAACATATAAACTAGGAGATAAATACATTTAATTCTTCCCCCGTTACATCATGAAGTGCACTGTCTGAATTTGATTTCAAGGACAGTGGGACATCAATGATATTGAAGTTATGAGTATTCTCTTCACACGTAAATTCTAGCATAAAACGAAAAGCGTAAAAATTTTTCTGAAATTTTGGCTGAAACATAACTGAAAAGAGTAGAGCATGTCTCTACCTTTTACACCAAAATTCCTCCAATAAAGAGAAGTCTTTTTTGCAACGTCAAAGTAGACACGTGGTTTTTATTCTAACAATGGTGGCAATGAGGGTTAATAATACAAAATTCTATTATAAATATTTTATTCATCTAAACCAACAAAATACTTGATTCAAAGCTGAATATGCAATAGAATTTGAATTATGGTCAACATATAAGCACCTTCAGTAATTTCACATATCAATCTCCCTGTAATAAATTTTTACTGTATTTTAATTTTAAATACATAATTTATTACACTTATTTTGAATCTCTATCTTAAATCCTACAGTTTTGATAGAAATGTCACATCAAAGATATAATAAATTTTTACACTGCACATTTTCTCTGGAAAATCTTATCAATTGCAGTTTTAAATTACTAATTCCTGTGAATATACACTATTAAATAACTATAAATATTGCACCACTCCCACATAATGGACTAATTTCTCCATACAAATTCTGGAAAGCAATTTGAGTATTAATTTTTTTTTTTAAAATCCCCACCCAACACAATTTAGATATTATTACACACTGTAAATAGGAATGAATTCTAACCTAACTTTATGGCACTTTTTCAAAAAATGTGCTCACACTGGCACATTTGTATTCAAGAGTTAGTACATGAATGTTAAATTACCTATTTTTTGCTACATTCGCATAATGTGGGGGAAAAAACAAAATGGTTTTTACTTAATTTGATATTCTGAAGTTTATTTTAACAAGTCTTTAATCCACACTTCATGTGGTTCAATACAAGATGTTCCAATGACAAGATTGTCATTGAAACATCATAACATTACTTTCACATATTATTATAAGGATTATTACAGTAAAATGTACTTAAAATGAAATGCAACAGCACTGGCTGAAATTTTACATTGCAAAAAGTTTATTTTACAAAGGATTAATATTTATTAACCATCTTCTAGTGTTGGGCAGAAATAGTAATGTTGTGCTGCACAACTTTCCAGTTAAGAATACATTCTGAAAGGGGAAGGAAAAGACTGAACAAGTGGGTCATAATCTGAATTACAGAATTATATTTTAACTAATTTCATTGTAATGCCAAAAAAGATTCCACTTTCCTCAGGATGTTATATAACTTGTTCCCAAAAGTCTTCCAGTTTATAGCATTTTATATAACAAATCACCCCTTTTCAAGATTTTCCATTTAAAGCAGATTTTACTGAATTACTTTTCCTGTAAAATTTATTTCTAACAAACTGTAATGAAGCTACTTCAACAATAACAATTGCTAAAATTTAGTGTTTAAAACAAATTTAAGTTATCCATTAGAAAATAAAATTATGCTAAATTTGTCGAAAAATTAGAGGAAGAAATACAGAATGACATCTGTAACTCCGAAGACTTTTTCATTTAATTTACTCCTCATTGCATTCACATACTTTACCTTTCAATGGTAAAGGAGTGCCAAGATAAGAGGAATTAGCATATAATGTAAACCAGAGGTGCACAACACAAGGATCTTGATCTGACATGAATGCAATTACTGTACAATGTTAATAGCGAACACATGTATCCATACACAAACCTATAAAATTACACGCTATGCCCCATGTACTAAAATAAGTTAACAGATAAATATTCATGAGACTTTTCTAAAGAATTGCTTTGTATCAAACAATGCACTTTGTTGTTACTTTGCATTTTTTAGTCTTTACTCATAGTAACTTGTGTTAAAGTTACTAATAAATTAATGTATTAACATTAGCCAACCACATTAAAAAAGACAGGAAACGTGTTGTGCACACCTGGTTTGCTCTTAAATTTTTTATAAAGATTAAATGTTAACATATGTTTTACTTACGTAGATTTGATTGTAATACATCTTTCTTGTTCGTCTTTTCTTGTATCAGTGAATCTCATCTCACCAGCTTTGGCAGCAGCAATAATTCCAGCCTTAGAAACAAGCGAATCAGTTAAAGTTGATTTTCCATGATCTACATGGGCAATAACGGACATATTACGTATGTTCCGTTTCCGGTTCATCATATCCCGGATCTCGTCTACGGTGAAGTTAACCTGAAAAATTTTTACACAGTTAACTAAATGTAAAAAAATTTCACAAACAAGAAACTATATAAAATTTATATCTTTGTAAACTTGGAATGCTGATGTGCATTCACACTAGAATTGGATGATGCAATCATGAAAACATTCAAAACCGAAATAAAATAATAAGAGAAAGAAAGAAAATTCTAAGTATTCCTGAAAATAGATGCAAATCTAAACATACTTGAACTTAATTCAATGTTAAATACAACAGCATTGTAGGTAAGTAAAATTGTGTGGATGCTACGGAGGATTTACAGAATATGAATGCAAGTTTCAATTTGTCTAAGCCTGTAGCTTTAACTACTCTTCAGAACAGAGGGTTATTTTATAACTATTTATTAGAGCAGATCTCTCTCAATCAAAAACATGGGTTCAAAATTTAACATGAATTCTGGAAAATTTCAAAACATGAAAGTGATAGGATGCCCCAGAACATACTTCAGATAGGAAGTGAATTCATCAGTGTGGGTACAATTAGTAATATAATCAGGAGTTGGTCTGTGACAAACTAAAGCAGTTTGACTATCTAAAATTAAATACTACTCAAATAAGAGTGATTATGTGTTGTGGAATAGTGAGGAAAGTATCCCGAATGTTTCTACAGTTAGCCACACTATCCATTATAAACTGGGCTAAATAACAGAAGACAAGTTCTTGTGCTAAATGAATCCCATGAGGAAAAATCAGATGAAATTACAAGCTTTATAAGGATCACTTAGCAGGTCAAAGATCACAGAATGCTGTTCTTTTAGACAAGGCATGATTCCTTGTATAAGACTGCAACGACAAAGGATGTTATTGCAAGATTTCATTAGGTTAAAAAAAATCAAGACCAGAGAGAGAAGTTCTTAGAAAAGTTGATGATAGGTACAATGACAGGTTGTTGTACTTTAGAATTTTAAGAGAAATTTGACCAATGACAAAGTTAATGCTAAGATATATATATGCCATTCACAGCCTGGCACACACATTTGTAAAATCTAAGTGACTCGCACAACATGGAATTCATATAAAACGGAATTATCAACAGTGCTACAGGGGGAAGTCGATTGTATATTATATTCCAAGTATGACAAAGCTATAACGCATATCTTCCTATATGGACCAGGTTCATTAGACAATAAATGGAAGACAGTCCAGGAAAGGCATCCAAACAATCAAAATAGCTTCATCATAGTTAAATTATCCAATAAATTTCTTTGCATTCAGATACCTTACAAGTCTATTTAAATGCAACTTCCACTGAAGTTGCTGGCCAGATTTGAAAAGCAAAAAAAAGTCCACAATCACTGCTTCAACATGCACAAAGATATTTCATTCATGGAAACAGCACCTATGAACCATTTCTAAAATAAATCACATATAACACAATGTTTATAAAGTCCACAATATAATCACAATGTTTATAAAGTCCACAGATAAAATTAAATTCTTTAAATGAAAACATTGATTTAATTCTAACATAACCAATTCATTTGCCTCATCGTGAAGCAGGATAACACAAAAACATACTATTTCAAATTTATCTTTAGCATCAGAGAAATAACTTGATTCTGAAAATCAATTTGCTTTTTGTAGACAGTAGTCTGGCAAACTTGACAATGTACACTGTGGCAACAAGTTACCAAAAATGCCAAGTTTTACAGCATAGCAATGGTGCTAATCTAAATAGTGGAATTTTCATAAAGGTATTGCAATAAATGTGCAAATTTGTATATGTATTAATTACATACCAATGATGACTTCATTCATAGTTAAATTTTAATTAAAAAAAAAAAATAGTGGTTACTCAGCAGATACCTTCAAGTTAGTGACGTTCACATCATTGTTTTTTTTGCAGTGGCACCTTGAAAAAAAGAATTACATTCTTTGTTAACACTTTTTAATGCTATCAAAGTGTCAAAAAAATGATAAGTTTTGATCCCAGCATTAAGTTAGAGATAAAAATCAATCACACACACTTCCTTTTCAGAGGACGCAAGTTTTATGGAATGTAGAGTTTTTGAGAGAAATTTCCAGGATTACTGTACTATAAAACTAGTTTTAATTTTGCATTATATTCCTACAGGTAAACTATTAAATTTACTAAATTTAGTAATAGGATCTTATAGGAAATTTTATTATTAGTAGTTTCAAATAAAATTCTTGGCTACAAACCCAATAAAAATTTGATAACATGGAAAAGCAAACTTCAGCTGGGAAAGTAACAAATTTACCAACAATCATAATTGGTACTGGCCATACGTATGCAAAGCAATCAATGAAAAAGTCACTATTTGAAAGATCCTGTAACATTTACGCAAATCTAAAATTGCTTCATTGTCAAATGTAAAAACTCAGTTCATTAATGTGACCTTAAACCACTGATCTGAGGATATTTAATTTTTTTTAATATCGAAAAACAAACTAGTAACATTAAACTAGTATTGGTTGAAGTATGTAAGAACATTTGTAGAACATCTCAAAAACTAGTTTATCTAAATTTTTAAGGTAATTGACCAGGTATCAATTCTGTTCAGTCTTGTTTAAAAGCTTTGCAATGGCAGATTTTAGCATTTTTTGATATCAGTAATAATTTCATAATTTGGGAATGTTAATTAATGAACTAAGTGACTATTAACTCCTTGGAAAAAGAAACCATTTATAAAATACAAAACTTAAGGAGTTTCCCCAAAAGTTAGTTTTTCCTGTATAAAACGTTCTCATTTAAGAAAATTTCCCACTCGAGTAGACAGAAATCAGTGTCTACAACTAGAAAATGGGTTTCTTGAAGTTTTTCAACCGTATACTATTAAAAATTTTATAATACATTAGGAAAGCCACAAAATTTCATCTCATTGTTCACAGAATTTTTGGCTACTTTGAAAACGATTTTACAGTTTTCTTATAGTTAACTAGCAACAATGCTTGCAAAAAACATGTTCAGGTAAGCTCTAACAATAAATACATGGTGATATTCTAAGTCTTCAACAAATATTTACATTTCTGCTTAAGTTTTTTAAAACCGGTCTCTTGCAACAACAGCTCTAATGTAATTTGAAAATACAGACTTTTGTATCTATACAAACATTAATGGTCATCTTAAGATGTGCAAATAAATAGCAATTTAAAATGATTGTAGCATGCTTACAAAAATTAAGTGCAACTTCTTAGAATGTGCATTACCAATCTACCTACTCATTAAAATTGTTGACCACACCATACATATATCAATGTGATCACCTATCTCTACATGTGTAGTCACAATTTAAAATGACCTAAGTATTGTGTGTATACTAATGCATATTTTGAAAATAGAATCAATACAGGAAACTATATTGTTTTATAGTAAAATAAACATTTACTACATGATCTAAAAAAATTTACATGAAATATTTCAAATACACCTGAAAAATAGCCATGAGATGTAGATAAATAAAATGAAATGCAACACAGTAATCTTTCAGTATTAACTGTAAAATGTCTATTGTTTTCTGATACTATTTTTTGTTTTGCTTCCTTTTGTGACTCATGATACAGTAGATATTTCTTAAATAGAAGTGTCCAAAGATGATAACTCTATCAATTTATAGGATAAACAACAATAACAATGGATTATTAGAAAAACATGAGTTGAGATATTGCAAAATATTCATCTAAATACATTGTACTTTGAAAATAATAATAATGTCAATCGCAATTCAGTAAAATATATAAATTGTATTAAAACAAAAAAAAGTTAAAAACACTTCTTAAACTGGATTTAATAATTCTCGATGTGAAATGCAGTGGGAAACCAGTTTGCAAATGGTTGCAAGCACTTTAAAAACATGTAATTTTACAGTATTTATGTGCTAAAATTTTTTAGCACTGCTAATTACTAAAATATTTTTATTTTAAATAAAAAACTTTATACTTTTGAAGATTAGAATAACTGAAATGCCTATCACAAAATTTTAACAAGACTTATGAATGCTATTGCCCGATTAACCACTAGTGAAAATTTAATAAAGCCATCTCGGTTCAATTGACAAGCTAGTGACTTCGGCGAATGTTAGGTCTATTAGCGATTTAATGGCATTCCACTACACCTGGACACTGACAATGGAGAATGAAATACACATTAACAAAATCATATTGCAGTTAAAATTACAGGTAACCCCCGTATAACACGGTAGTTACATTCCAAAACATTGCCGTGTTATGCGAAACAAAGAACTAGTACTAAAAGGAGGGTTAGGTTCCAAAAATTAAGTCATGCTACTATATTTTCATAATTAAGATAAATATCTTTATTAAAATATAAATTAAACAATGTTTTCTNAAGATATTTCTTTTAAGGCATGTCAAAAATGTTTTACTTCTACCAAATGCAGGTATGTATTGTACTTGCTATTATATTTATAAAATACAAACCTCCAATGAAACCTATTACTGTTTATTGTGTAGGAATCTCTATACAGTATCTCGAATTTTTTTCTAGATTCGAGATAGGCAGGCTCGACTGTATATGATTTTTGGAACAATACATATGCCGATCAAGACTCTCCTTAATTTTTCTGAATCCCTCGCCCGTGCTGGCCGAGCGAAGGATAGGATTTATATAACTACGAAAGTTATCATACGTAAGGGTTTATCACACCGAGTGACCAATCTAACACACTTTAGAAATTCCTTTAAATTGTGTGCAATAGAGGCAGAAAGAATTTTTAAATTTAAAATGCTATTACATGTAGCGCCATCTATCGGAAAAATTTAATAAAATAACTAACTGATTGTGGCCTGCGTTACACTATAGTGTATTTATCTTAAGTCGGTAGCTACAGTAAACAAACTAAGACATCCCCCCTTTGTTTATTGGTTTAAATCTACGTCCATCAATTAGAAACCGCGTTATATCTCATTCGTCCCCAGAAAACCGAAGTTTTCTGGGGACGAAGTTTTCATCTGTAAACCTGAACGTCGAACGTCGAGCGCAGCTTACAAGA